GGCTGTTTCAGAAGTACTTATAGTCAGAACTGGAAACTTTAGAAAGCTTGAACAAACTGAATTAATAATAACCATGGCTCTTTCTCCATTAAAGAAAAACTATTTTTTCTGAAATTCTGCTACAGTGACTTGGAGTCCCTCTCCTTTTCTGGAAGCTTTTCTCTCATCAAAGCTTGGGTGTGTTCCTTAAAGGAGATCTTTATAAAATGTAAAGTTGTAAGCTATTTTCATTTTTTCTAATGTGAAACCATAGGTAATCATACTGCCAGACTAGATACCCATCTAGCTCAGTGTTGTATCTCCAGCAGTGGTCAATTGCAGTGACTTTTTTCAGAAAGTAGGAGGACAGGGAAATTATATGAAGATACTTCTACAGCCTTCAAGTTGACTTAAGAGCTTTCTGAATTGAAGATGGTGTGTTTTTAAGTCAACTATGAACTCTTGAGAATTTATTAAGAAATACTGATGTTATTGGGGCATGCTTCAGTAGTTGTATAACAAACTTGTTTGACTTGATCTAAATTTTGATGCTTCTTAGCTTCAAGCCAATAAAATTGGAGTAGTCCAAATTTTGGTTTAGTCTTAGTAATTTGCAAAACCACTTCAGTATATTTCAGTCAGACCTTATTCAGGAATATTTCTGAAGGACAATATTGTTGTTACAATGTTTTCATTTTCAGAATTAATGTGGGAACTATTTCTAGTGAAATTGCAGTGCAGTTTTGTCAAACCCCTTTTTTCTAAACCCATGATCATTTTGGATCTCCTAGAATTTGAGCCTTGGATTCTTCACTCATTTTTTTCTACTTCAGATGGAAGAACGAGTATGAAATTATTTGGACTTTATAAGATGTCTGATAAGCCTTCTGAATCTAAGGAATAATAGTAGAATGTTTCTTAAGGATTTGCAGACAAATTTACTTGGTTCTTGTTTCTCCTGATCTTGTGCTTCAGAAACACAGTGCTAAGGACAAATGCAGTAAACTTTTCTGTGTACTCTGATATTAGATCTTATATTGATTGTAATGATTTAGTATGAACAAATACAGAGCATCACTTTGTTCCATGTTAAACAAAAGTATTTATATTGGTTTAGCAGGGTGAGTTGGAACCCTGGTTTCTAGTTCTGCTGCAGGAAGATTAATTCCACCTAAAGATTAACATGAAACAATTCTACTTTGTCATTATCTCTATCTAGCAACATTAAGTGAATTAACTGAGGAGTAATCATTGCTTAGATAGATGTCTCTGCTATGATTAAATGTAAAGAAGAAAAATCCATGCAGTTATTACTTCATCCAGTTAAATTCCTGGACTGCTGCATTAGCTGCATGCTTGGTCTGAGAACATGGGATTTTAATCTCTAGCATTATGGGAAGCTTTAATGACATGTTTACTTACTATTTGTGATCTAGGAAATGTCATTGCTTCATATATCTAAGCAGTACAGAATGTAATCTAAGGATTAGGAAAAGGCAAATCTTCCTATCTATTTGACCTTGAAAATCTGATTGGATTTCCTGTGTGATCTGGCATGATTTTTCCCTAATTATCTAAAGCTTGATATATGTGAATGATAGATACTGAATGAGCTGTTAAGATATGGATAAAATTCTAAAACCTTTTCATATACATCTTAGATTTGAGTGCAAAGAAATGACAAAAGCTAGAAAAATCTGACATAAAATGTGGTCTCAATGTAAGATAAATCTTCAGTAATTCAGTGGCCTGGACTTTGTTAATCTAAAATGAAAGTCTTACAATAGTAGTGAATATGTATCAAGTATAAAGTCAGTTTGATTTAACTTTGGACCATAATAGGAGAAACTTCTTACCTTATTTTTTAGTGCTATGGCTATTAGAAGAAAAACAAGTCATTTGACTTGAAAACAAATGGGGAAGATTGTGATCCATTTTGCTGAGAGTTGATTTGCTGCCTTTTATAGGTTTCAGTAGCTTCTCAAAGGAAATGGAAAGTTGATTAAGCAGTGAAAGTTAAAGAATAAAAAAATGGTTGTTCTTAAAATGGTCAATAAAGTATGTAGCTATTTGGGGTAGGAAGACTGATCTTGAGTAACGAATGGATTTCTTTTAATATTTACTTTGGCTACTTCCAGTTGACTGTTTACTAAAGGAAGGGAATGTTCTTTCAATGACCTTAACTTTTTTGTATTAACTAAATCATAATACTATGAAATTATGATTATATCCACCATTAAGTTGGAGTCCTTCAAATACTGAATTCAAATAATTTAAGCTAAAATACTTAGGAAATACAAGTAACAATGTAGTGATCTCTTAAGGAATTTATGCAGTTGGTTCATCTGAGGAATGTAATGGAGATATTGTTAGAATTCTGCTCTTCAATTATTTTAACCTTGACAAGTCTGAGACATCTGAATGTTCCTGAAATGAAACTCTTAGGTCCTTAAACCACTGTTTGTTCATAAGCTTGTAGTTCTTAATTAAAATTTCTTACAAAGTCTAGAAATACAATTTTTATTGAACTTTTCAGGTGGGCAGGGGGATTGCACTGTATGCCATACTATGCAGTTGTATACAATAGTATAGACTTAACAGGAGAAAACAACAAATTTTTAACTTTACCAGTTCATGAAAACTTGGTGGGCTACCATGTTAAAGGTACCTTATTTTGTAAGCTTAGCTTATTTCAGGAAGTCCATAACTGTAGCAGTAATTATAGCTGCTGGAAACTTTTAAAGATCTTGTATCAATCTACCTACCTGGAGTCTTCAGTGCACTGATCTGTTCCAAAATACTACAGCACAGTACATTAATTTTTAATCTTGAATGGAGTTGAACTGTGCTTTGCTGATTTTCTTTTTTTGAACAAATTCTAGACCTAACACTTAAAGTCAATACTAAATGGAGTCATACTAAACTTTGTAACTGCATTTGCTTCAGTCATAACAAAATGGGTGTATTATTACAACTTTAATAGTTGCTTTTCCCCGGTGTAGAATGTTGCTGGAGAACACTACACATCAAATCTAGTTTGCTTTGTGTAATTATACTGTTAATACTATATGCCAACAACATTAGAAATGTTTCATAATTCAGTTTTCTACTTGTAAAACATACAAACCTCTAAGTATCTGGTCTTGTTTTCCTAGAGAAATCTAAGAGCTTTATCATAACTGCCCTTGTTATCTTGGGAAGCGGGGTGTTAAAAGTAGTTTATTCGTATTTGATTGCTGTGATACTACTATACTTTTGTCTGAGTATCCCATTCAGGTACTTTGACTTCTAAACAATACCAGTCACCTGCTTCCTGAGTGGGAAGATCATGCCCTATAAAGCTCCAGTCTTAATTTCATCTGGTAATGAGTTTGTGTAACATCTATTTAATTGCCCATAATTCTCTAGTCTATAAAGCAGCACCTACGAAGAACATGTGAATTCCATTTTTATCAGAATTCAGCTGTTAAAATATGTTCATCAGTAGTTGTTGTCAGCCTGTGGGCTGATGGGCTTGGAGATTTCTCCGAGCATGATGCAACATAAAGGACACTTCAGAGGAAGGTTGCTTTGATAGGGCTCCTCCAGAATGTTGACATTACGAGAATCCATATGATTCAAACTTCCTAGAGCCTTGCCAAGAAGACTCGAAAGTATAGATGGGGCAGGCCTTTCTTTCAAGAAACCTTCAGGTAGTCTGAGGCTAGTTTGGGTTTCTTAGTTCTTCATTCACTGAACACTGACTCGAGTAAACGCAATTGTACTTATTTTTCTGTTCTGTACTAGTGAGGTGAAAACCTGCATAGAAGACTGGAGTTCGTTATTGGGAAAGATGTTGGTATCTTCATTTCTGGTGGTAAATGGGGTTGGACTGATAGTCATTAAAAAGCTATTGATGTATAGATTTTTTCCAGTAGTAAGTAATGTGTGGGTATACTGCTCTTTCTGTTTTTCAGTGGAAGTCATTTGAAACTGAATTGTCTTTTAAAATATACCTAAAGGATGCTTTCTTCTTTTGTTTTGGTTTCTTTGCACTCAGAAGTTTTTGTTGCTGTCACTTGTTGGCATAAGATCACATTCCCACTAAAACTTTAAGGTTTCGATGAACATCTTTAATATATACCTGTTAAATAGAGTAGAAGAGTGTTTCTTGTTGCAAAAAACTAACAAGATAAAGTGGATTGTGGAGGATAAATGATAGATGTCCACAGAACTTTTGTTGCACTTCTGAAATTGATTGGATTTTGGTATGTTCTGTGCTAACATGTTTAACTCTGCAACCCACAGCATGCTGGACCCAATCCAGCAAAGACTTCAAGTAATGCTTCATTTTCAGTCTCCTTGTATGTTACTCATGTTTCCCCATCAGTGAAAATAAAATCTGCAATTTTTCATTGTCACACTGAACGGTCAATATTTGGAGAGAATTATAATCAAGAATCAGTTTCGTATGTATCTCTGGAATAAGCAGTGCCATGCAGCCTGCTTTTGAATTTCTAAATCTTTCCTAATTGTTGTCATTGGTATAACACTAACCTCAGACTATGTGCCTCAGTTGTATTCCTCAAATTTCAAAAGATTGTTTTGACATTTGCTCATAAGTGCACTATAGACAACCACCATTAAAACTGTTTACTTTGTTTATACTCTAGAGGAATAAAATAGTTAAGTAATAAACTATGTTGTAAGTTTTTGAATTTAAAAATGAATAAAGGTATCTAAGAATAGATTTTATGTTTACATTTCATATGGGTCAAGTGCTATCATGTGTTAAAAGTTAACATTTAAAATGCTTACAGTGCTAATTCAAGGTACTGATATGAAGATGAATATTAGTCTGAAAAAGCAAAACATGGTTTACTCCCTGAATAACTAGCTCTATGTTTAGTTACACAACATGTCTTATGTATTATGCCATACAGTATTAGTTCTAAAATTTTTAATTAATACTAATTTTGAGGATTCTAAGCTTTTAGACTGTATTAAACTGAGACAAGAACTTTTTTTGCTTTAACAGAAATTGAAAAATTCCAGAAGGGGGAAGGAAAGGAAGAAGAAAAATATATTGATGTGGTCATCAATAAAAATATGAAGTTGGGACAGAAAGTTTTGATTCCAGTAAAACAATTCCCTAAGGTAAGCCCAGCTTTCATACTGATAAATTAATCTAAGTACTTATAAAAGATATTCCACTAATATCTTCACAATCTCTACTGTTACTGTTCTGCAGTTTGTTCTATAGAAGTTCTAAAGTAGGACTGGTTCTTGGAATAAATGTGCGGGAAAGTGGCACTGGTGACACAAAACAGTATGTTGGCAACAAATAAATTAATTATTTTCAGGATATCAAGATCTTCAGAATATCAGAAAGAAGGAAGTATGTTTAAATTGACTCTACCAGGCTTTGAAATTTTCCTATTGTAAATAGAAGTAGTGCAGCTTAAAATGCACTAGTAAGGAACTCACTGTGTAAACTTTCTCATCTCCTAAGTTTCAGCCACTGTTAGTCTTGAGTTAGTTATATCTATGCTGCTACATTATGCATTCTGTTCTGGAGGGGTAGGGACTGTTTTGTTAATATCTTTGACCACCATGAATTCTTAATACTACTGCCAAATATTTTTCTGCACTGAAATGTTGCTACCTGAAAGCATTTATTCAACATTGAACAGGCTGTGGAACTTTATTCTTTTGGTCCCTTTTCAAATTTTAGGTTAATGTTACAAAAATCAGATTAGCACTTTTTTCTTGTTTGAAATGGCTTTTTCTTTCTACTAGCTATTTCAAGACTTTGCTCATGGAGGAAAATAATTCCTTCGTTTTGTTTTAGGAAGACTTTATAAGTTTTTCCATACTATCAGCGTTTTTCTCAAACTATGCTGAGTAACTTGTTGGAATTGCTTCACTGATGTTCAAAGTTATTTGAAATACTGTTTCAGTGAATTCAAGACTATGTACCATTTATGTGGAAACCTCCTTGGGACTCTTAGTCATCTTTTATGACTGAAGACATATATACATGCATACAGAAACATAAAGATGGGAAGGTAATAGGGGAACCTTACATGGTTGATGTTTGCAATCAGGATGTTTCTCTTAGATGCTGAGATGTAGATACTAGAGCTCAAGGGAAAGAAAGGCAAAATGCGTATTAAAGGGAATCAGTGCCTTTTGAAAGGTGCTTCTGCTTCTTTATGTGGCATCAACTTTCTTTTAAGAGACTAAACACTGACATTCTTATTTAGGATAGCTAGTAACAGAGCCCTTGCCATCTTAAGAATGAGCAGGTATGCTCTTCTCTGTGATCAGTAGCTCTGGGTCATGGAGATGGTCTTTGAGCTGGAATAAAGCCTGGTATGTGCTTTGGAAAGAAACCTGAATTTATATCCAGATAGAGCTTTATAATCCTGTATGTCTCTCTGGACCACAAGGATCCAGGGGTACAGAGTACAACTGCTGTGTAGAATAGACATACTGTGGCAGTTCCTGTGGCTCCACTAGGACTTTCTACACAGAAAGCAGAATACTGATGCCTCCACTCACACAGATCTCCCTTCTGCCAGAGTGAATAAATTTCTAGGTATTTTCTATTTAAGAATATTTCTACCCCAGTATAGGGGAGGCTCAACTTTTTGTAAAATTTCCACTTTATTACATATAGATGGATATTTATGTTAAAGTTCACTCATTAGATTCCCCATAGTCAGAAGGAAATAAAACTTCTCAGTGTATAGGAGTAGTCTGGGAGGTAAGTATCAAATCTGACTTAGGACAGATACTCTTGATCTTCCCTGAAAAACGCCCACCCTAAACCACAAGCAGTCACTGCAGTTCAGTATCACTTGTTTACTAGAACCAGGCTTGTGGTTTTATTTGAGATCTAATAAATTTTAAATACATTGTATGGAGTGACATAGCTTTGACATGGCAAAGAGAGCGCCTTACTCTGCCATACTGTAGTCTGCAGCGGGTGTCATGAGTTTTGAATGCCTGTACAAAGTCTTTTTACATCATGTTTTCCCTAAAGGCTCTTCCTGTTAGGGGTGTTCAGAGGAGGGCTCATAAATTAGCGATGCTTGTCAAGTCTTTTGGGGTAGATATGGAATTATTCCAGTCATCTTGGTTTCACTGAGCTGTATTTAGAGGGCATTCATTACATATTCAGATTCTGAAGAACTAAGCAGAAAGTATTACATGATGCTTATAAAATCCAAAATGGTGCTTCATGTAAATGCTTTGTGCCTCTCTACTCTTTTCTGTGCATTTGTGCAGTTTCCTAGACTATTTTGCCTACAAGAGATGTTAGTATTAGTGCAACGGTGTTGTTTGTAGGAAGTACAAAGTGATGGTTCCTCAGAAGAAGGGTTAAAAGATTTACTTGTGTTTTATGAGCAAATTTTTCCTTCCTACTGATCAGGATTGGTGACAAATGGCTTCAGAAGGAGCTTAAGACTGAAATATGGATGAAATCTGTGCAAAAAGCTCTTCTGCATGTGAGTATTGAGTTTAGCAAGCTGGCATCTGTTTCTGTATGCCTGCAGTTCACACTAATGCTATTAGCTGCTGTGGCAGATCCTGAATAAAAAAATACCTCCAGTATTTCAGGAGACATAGTGGTTTTGGTGTTGAACTGGGAATCTACTGTTTGAGGCTGACCAAGTCACTAAAATCGATCAATCTGTCAAGCTAGCACTGGGGCACCAGTTGGGCTTGAATATGGCAAACTTGAGTATCTGCAAAGTGAGACTAAAGTTGTTTCAACTTTATGAATAAAATAGTGCTTCCCCAAATAAATGATCATGATTTTAAACAAGACCAAAATAGCAAGTTATTCAAGTTATTAAATCCTTAATCTTTTAATGTCTGAAAATGAAACTATCTACGAATATAAGTGATCTTGCTAGCAGGAACTATTCCTTTGTTTATATTTGCCAGTGATAATCTAGCAAGCAAAGATGCCTCTGCTGTTTAGGTATATAGATAAGATGAATGAAGTCATTGTTAGGTGATAAATGAGGTCTCTGGACCAAAACAGCCCACCACTGCACTACCCCCATTCAAACAGCTTACTGGACCTGACACAGGGTTAACTAAGTTTTCTTTATTTCATTGCCCTTTCCCTCTTTAAAACTTCTCTCTGACTCCTTGAATAAATCATAATAACCTCAACACAGGTCAGGCAGTCCTAGCTCTGATCTGATCAGCCTGGCATTGTAATGCCTGCTCACATTACCTTTCCTGTCAGATATATTCTCACGGGCTCATAGCTGGGTCCTGTGCAAATTTAGCCTCATTACCTCTGACAGCCCTGGAAGGTGACAGGTTAACTGCAGCAGAAAGCTATTCAACTGAATTTCAGAACAGCTGGGTTTCTATTGGAAAAGAATCTGTTAGACCTCAGATTCAAAAGTAGGTATTCTACTTTTCTGGGGGCATCTTGGTCTCCCTGCCAAAACTGTGAGTTTCTGGTAGTCTTCTTAGTGCGTAGTCGAGTCTGTGGTGATGTGCTTAACATGCCTCCTACCGAACAGCTCTTGGTTGCTTCTGCATGCTATATATGTATATCCTCTAGCTGGGACCTTCTGTCTTGCTCAGACCTTGGCAGCATTAACAGGCTTAATGTCTAATGCTAGAGGTAGCTGGTCTAAATGTTTTTTTTTTCATGTCTGGACCTTGATGGAAGGTGATAGACTAATCAAGACAGCCTGAACTTTGTCTGCTTTATGAAATAATGTAAGGTAGTCCCAGGAGTTATGTTCAGTTTCTGCTTGAAGCTGGTTGTGCATTTGAATTAATTTCTTCAGTTGTGTTCTTTAGAGTCCAGTACACATTAAAAAAAACCCCTGAATTAGTATCTCTTGATACAGTGACAGATAGTCTTACTTGGCAAGGTGGAAACTTGTGGAAACTGTTCTACAGATTGCAGGTCCAGTCAAGTCTTTCCAAAACATGTTTGTATACAATATTGTTATGAATTTTTCAGGTTGGTCCAGCTCTACAGATTCCTCTGAGAAGTCTGAATTGCCGTGAAAAGGAAATTAATCTGAGGTACTTAAGTGAGGAATGAATATGCTTTGGTCATGCTGTCTGCAATCCTTTGTAACAGACATGTGCTACAAGCAAGGATTAGGGAGGTCAGGGCTCTTACCTGACCTTATTGGGCAAGGGCCAACTTTTTGAGGCAGGATTCAGTTGTAAATCAAGTCACCACAGGTAGGAGTCCATGTGGATGCAGGATGTCTAAACTGCCATTAGTGGAATGAGATCTTGTCAACTTAGGCAGTGGAGTTCAGGGTGATTTAATACGCCTTGCTATTTGATCAGCTGAGTACATCAATGATTGTAGGTCAAGTATGAAAATGTGACCCTTAAACCTGTACTCCTGCTGTATTTCAGGCTTGAAAATAGTATTCAAACTTGCACAGACTTCAAGGCAGAATTCAGCTGGCCATGGAAGGTCATGATGTTGTCTTGGTGAAGGGACTTTCTGGATCAACCCGAACAGTGATACGAAACGCCAGCATGAGAGGGGTTTCATAGCTTAGATACGTACAAATCAGGCAGGAGGGTGTTATCCCCCCTCCCACACATATAATGAATATACATTGTGAAGTAGTTTAGTCTCAGAAATCTGATTTTGCTTTGACAGTTACTGAACTCAAGTGTTCTGAATTCAGAGATAAAAATAGCTTCCATGGATAAGTGGAATGATGATGGTTTTCCATGAAATACTATTCCATTTCAAAACTATGGGAACAATTATTTTCTTGTGACAAGCTACCTCTTCAAAAATTGCTCATAGATCTACACTTAAATACTAGGTAAATCTCTGAAGTCAGTAAGAAATGGTCTGTGTTGTGTTCCCTGAAGTGGTCCTTTAAATATAGTCTCAAAAGTTACTGACTTATGAAACTGGTGTCAGTTTAAGCCTTTTAGCTCAACATTAAAGTGAAAATATCTATTTTAAAATGTCTGTCATATCTGCAGTTGTTACATAAAGTTATGGAGAGTTTAATATTTTAATCACATGACTAGTTTGAAAACAATTTTTCATAATAGCTTAGTTTTAAGGATTTCTTAGAAATGAGAAAATGTGGTTGTATAACCATAAGTGACATGGGGGAACAAGCATCAAA